CCGCATCCTGGTGGTCCTGTCAAGGCTCGGGACTTCTTCTGCTTGAAGGTGCTGGACGTTGGCCCTCGTGTGGCCTGGCGCCCCGCGTGCCGCTTCTTCCCCCGCTGCAGGGGCGGCGACGCTTGCTGGTGCTCTCACCTCGTGGACGTCTCGTTCGAAGCGGCCTCGAAGGAACACATTCGGGCTGCTGCTGTATCCCCAGCTTTGTTATCTGCGCTGCCCCTGCCGTCCTCTCGGTGGCAGGCGCGTGCTGACGGATGCAGTGCGGTTGAGATCTTCGCGATGCTGGACTCTGATGAACGCGCAGCTGCCGCTCGGGATGCGTCCTCATCTTTTCCGCCCTCTACGGCCTGTTCGGCCCCAACGGCGACGACTTCAGTCACCAAGGTGCCTTCGACGAGTAGCACTGCGACCTCTTCAGCTCCGTCGGCGCACTGTGACCATCAGCCCCCTCTTGGTCAGCGCCCTGCGGTTCCTCCTGCTCGCGCTGCTCACGCAGAGTCGAATGCTACGAGGCGCGTCACTTTCAAGGAGGATACCGACCACGTCAACTGCTTCCACGGCACGGGGATTCTGCCCCCGCCGTTGGGCGCAAGTGCTGCCCTTCTGGCTACTGCCGCTGATGGTGGCCAACAACAGCTCGGTATCGATCATGCTTCTGCTGCCGATGGTGCTGATCCCGTCTGGGATACGGCAAGCTGGGATGACGCTGACGACGACCCGTGCTACCTGTCGCTTCTAGCTGAAGCTGCTGCTGTTCATGTCGGCCCCCAGGGGCGTGTTGACGATGCTGCTGACAGAGGTGCTGCATCTGGTCGCAGTGCCCGTTCAGCCCCTCTGCCCGCTGGTGACCCTCGATCCGCTGTGCAGCGGGTGGGTGGTGAAGAAGGTGATGCGCACCTTCATGGGCGCGCGATGCCTGGCGCCCGTTTCTTTCGACAGCGTGACCTTCTGCCGCTTCGTGCTTGCAGCGAGGCTCTCTTCGCTCACGTTGGCTTCGCCGTCATGGTCGACAACTTCGATCCGCTCGGCTTCATGGTCGCCGACTCCTTCGCCGCGGCGGGGGCCCCCCCTGCCTTCGCTTCTGCTGCCCCTTCGGGCGCGGAGGTTGACGCAGACTACCAGAACAGCTACGATTACCAATGTAAGTGCGTTTTCGAAAAGGACTACCTTGGCCACCTCGACGCTGCCGACCGCTTGGGCACCTTCAACGTGGACCTGAGAGCCTCGGCGCAGCGGCCGCGCGGCCCTGGGGCGCGATGACAGACCTTCGCTCAGGGGCGCTCGCTCCTCCTTCTCCCCTTACCCTCCCCCCCCCCTCCCCCCGCCCCTCCTCCTCGACGGAAGGGGCCCTTGCGAAGGGCCCCCCCCTCGGGGGCCCGGGGGCGGCCCCCGGCCCCTCGGTGGGGGGGGGTGAAGGTGGGGGGGCACGGCGCGAGCAGAAACTTTCTGCGGCGCTCCGCGCGGAGGTCTTGGATTCGCGCTGGCCCCCCAAACCGCCCCAACCCAGTCCAAAAGCCTCAATGTGCTTTCATTTCCAGTGGTGGTGGTGGTGGCGCGCGGCGGTGGCGGTGGGGGGGCGGGGGGGGGGGGGTCGGGGAACGTCGAGAAAACGAATGTGGAACCCGTGCCCCCCCCAGCCCGCAATTCGGCTCTTCGCGTTGGGTTGGGGTGGTCTGGTAGGTCGTCGGATTCGCGCTGCCGACCCCGCCCCCCCTCCCCAGCGGCGCCCCGGGCGCCGAGGGGCGGGGCGGCGGTGGCGATGGCGGGGGGCGGGGGGGTGGGTGGGGGGCGGGAGGGGGGGGGGGGGGGCTCAGCGCGGGTCCGAGAAATGCGCGTGGAGCACCGACAGTTAATGTTTACGCCGTTCTTTGTTACTTGCTTCCTCCCCCTTCTTCTTCTTCCTCTTCTTCTTCTTCTTCTTCTTCTTCTTCTTCTTCTTATTCTTCTTCTTCTAGTAGACGAAGGGGAATTCTCCGAAGACGGGGGCATTCTCAGAAGACTCGCGAAGGCGCCGCGACGGCTGCATGGAAGCCCAGCGGGCTTCCGAGAAGACTTCCCGCCCTCATGGAATGCCCCGCCGCCGCCTTAGTGGGGGGCCGCCCCCCTCGCGGCCACCCCCTTCGGGGCTCTGCCAAGAGGCGGGGCGCCCGGGGGCCCACCCCTATGTTCGGATTCGCGAGTGTGAAGCAATGTTCGACTCCCCGCTGCCCCTCCTCGCGTCTCTTGCGCTCGCGCCGCCTGCCTGCCGCAGTTTCGGGCTCGAGGGTGGGGCCGCTTGTCCCGCCCGCCCGCCCTTTTCTTTTTCTGTCTCTGTTTCGGCGGCGCCGCTGCGCCTGCCTCTGTGTTGGGGCCGGGGGCGGCCTCGAAGTTTTGGCGCCTCGCTTATAAAAGAAGAGGGGGGAGGGGGGCGGGAGTTAACGCATCAGGAATCTCAAGAACCAACGTGCGTTTTCATGGGCCCCAGACCGCGTTTTCTCCGAGCTTGGTTTGTAAGCGA